TTAAGTGGAAAACAAGGGAAGTTGCATTCTCCTCAGGCTGAATGATGACTAGATTTAAGCAAAAATCTGCTTAGAATATGAAGGTGATGGTGTAAAGTAAATAATAAATAAAATCTCCAGGTGTAAGCTCCTGCCTAAGAGCTTTGGGTTGATTTCATTGGAGCTCGTCCATGTCTGCTGTGTTTCAAGAAGTAAAAGAGAAAGCACTTCAAAGCTCCACACTTGGGTGACTTCTTAGTGCTGCCTCTTGAGAGTGAGTTTTCCTGCAGTGTCCTCTCACTCAGGACTAAACCTCTATGCCCTGAAGTCAAGTGCTGTTGGAATAAAAGGAAGAAATTGAGAGAGGATTTGTTTGGATTGCAAGAAATGTGACCTTCATAGTTTGATGTCTGGCTACTGACACATCCTTGTTCCTCACTACTGTGTGCCAGTTAATGTCTTTGATTTTGGGGGGTCAATCATCAAGGCTTGATACTGTTTTTCTAGGTGTGAGGGTTTTCTTTTTTTCCAGCTGACTTCTTGATTCTTTAGTCTGGAATTACAGCTGTCAAAGTGTACTTTATAACTCTTGGAGATGAACTTTGCAGAGCCCCATGATGTTAGTGTGTTCCAGCTCTTTAAATCCAGCTATGATGGGCAATTTACAGTTTCTGTCAGTACAGAATTTTATCAAAGCCTTGGGGAAGCTGAAGGACATTTCTGGTGTGTAATTTGTTTTCTGGACTAAGTGTTCTTTCACCGTTCCCTTACACAATGCTAGTTTGAGATCCTTAAGGTGTGTAGGAGGATCTGCTGGAATCTGAACTGATTTAACAGATTTCTTTAAGGGACTGCAGGACACCAATAGACAGATCAGACTGGAGCTTTGTTTTTCCCCTCTCAGAGGACCTGTGATAAACACTGAGAAGGATGAATACTCTTGAGTACAAACTGATCCTTCTTTCTTTGACATAAAGAAATGCAAGTGAAGCACTTCAAGATAGACCAGTGAAAGAATTTGCTTGAACTATGCCTAGTGCTCTGATTTAGTCCTTTGATACTCTAAAATAACTTCAGATGAAATTATTACTAATTTAATTTCATACATTAAGAGTATAAAGCAAATACTGAGGCCTGCAGCTTCCAGAAGTTGTGCTGCATTTTCAGCCACTGGGGCACGTTACCAAAGCCCTCACTCAGTTGCATGCTCTGGTCTCCCTCATTCCTGTTCTGTAGCACAGGGACCCTTTGGGGTCACTACTGTGTAGTTCTGATTTCAGGTTTCTGTCTGAGGTGTTTTGCTTAGAAAACAACAAGATCAGGTCAGGATGTAGGAAGTTACTGCAGTTCCTCCCCTCTCCAAACCCTGTGGGCTGCTCAGGCCTGAGAAAAATGGAATTACAGACTTTGGATGTAAAAGAAATAACTCAAATAGTAATTTTTACTTTCTTTGTTTCTATTTATCACCTATGCTGAGAAATGTTGTAGAAAAAAATCTTCCCAAATCCAGTATTACAGTCTATAGAGGGTGTGCAGTGGTTCCCAGGTGACCCATACAGCTCTGAAGTAATGACCTTGGTAGGAAGAAGATGAGAAGCCTGTTTGGAACTGGAATATTATTAGGTTGTAGTGAAAGTGCAGAGCTCCAGTTGGAGTGGAACAGAAAAAGAATCTCCTTTAAGTACCACAGATAAGTACAATTAAACCTGGAATTGGGTTTGGTTTTTTAATTTACAAAAAGGGATTTTTGTAGATAACCTTAGATTTTTTCGTCGTGGTTAAGAATACTCTTGGGATTGGATGTGACAGGTTATGTAGAAATATAAAGATATATAAAGAAGGAATTTTGAGTGTGTATATATATGTAACATACACGAGAATATAAACACTCAAAATTCCTTTTTGCTTGCTGAATCTTACGGAATTTTTGAGGCAGAAAATCTTGCAGAAGATATAATTATTGAAGGGTTACCTGTGTATTTACCTAGTCTTGTACTTAAGAGGAGTTTTTTGTCATGCCTGTTTAGTGATGTAGAACAGCTCATTTATATCTTACTAACATGAGTAATATTAATATTTATGTGTTTTTAAAAGAAGAGAGAGGACGAAGTTGAACTGTTTTCTACCACACTGCTGGTAAGACCTGTTCTGAAGAAACTTTCATTTAATTTTTGGTGAAATAATTTTCTTTCCTGTAGGTTTACATCACTTAGTTTAACATGTATTTTTTTTAAAACAAACAACTAAACCCCAGACACCACCCTCATGCCCCAGTTTCTAAGGCATTTTTTGGGCAAAAGAGAAGTTAAAAACATTTGCATTCTGTGTTTTATTACTTTGTGTTCTGTGAGGACATGTCAGTGTAAAGTTAACTAAAAGCCAATAGAAGTAATTTACTCATGACAGTACAGAAATCTGTGAAGATTTGTTTTCTTTGCTTCCCAAGTATTAGAAAACATTATTTCTTTCAATGACAAATAATGCATAGTAATAAAAATCAATAAAGTTTCCTGTCTTTGCAGTATATCCTTGGATATAACAATAATCAACTGTAAGATTCTCTGAATTTTTAAAGATTGCTACTTTAATAGGTGATATATGTGATTGAGAAGATGCTACTATATGAATTTTTAGGCAAGATGTCAGTGAAAATGGCAGTTTGTTTTGTACAATCCCCATTCTTTGGGAGGAATCTCTTCTGTGTATGGTTGGAAGGACAAAGGTTTGAGTCCTTTTCATGGGGAATGCTCGAGGTGAAACTAACAGTCAAAAAAAAACACCAGAGGATGATGATGTTACAGAAGGATGTTGTTTTTCAGCTAAATTAGCTGTGGCTGTGTGTGCAATGCAAACCTCTCTTCAACTTTTTATTGCACAAAAAGGGTTAATGATTGCATGGAATGTCCAGTCCTGTTTTTAAAGTGCATTTTCACAAGCATTCCATCAAATTAAAAGTAGTCTTCTGTAGAGAGCTCAGACGTGTTTTCAGCAAAGGCCATTTCTGTCCCAGATGACAACTTTGTTTCATTTGGTATTTGAGAAGAGATTCTTGCAAGATTATACTCAGTAATGAGTATTTTTTTTCTTTCAACATACCTAAGAGTACCTAAATATCTGTCTGTGTATCACTGTGTTGCTTAAGCTCCAGATCAAAGGAACCCTTGACAAAATGGGTGAGTTAAAGGTGTGTGTTCAGTGCTCTGCCAGCTGAGCCTTGGCACAGGGACTTGCTGTCCTGCTGAGGCTGCAGGGTGGCTCCTGTTGTACCTAGACAATCCTTCACTGCAGGGCAGGTTGCATAGGTATCAGAAACAGATTTATAGATTCCCTCTCTCAGATACTGAGATGTTGACTCTTCAAAGTGCAAAACCTGAAACCCAAACCCTCAAACTGACGAGTTTCAGCAAAACTCAGTGGGGAAGCAGCACTGATTGTCAGTGGTTTCCTCCAGTGCTGCAAGATAAAATTTAAAAACAATTGTTTTCTCTTTGTACACTCAACATTTAATTTTATTCCTTGTTATCCTTCTATGCACAGCTGTAGAACGTGAAGTATATTGAGGAAAAGCAACTCCTTTTAAGTAACTTCCAAACCTAAGTGAGGATTCCTGCCTTGTGAAAGCAAAAAGAAAAATAAATCCTTTAAACACTAGTGGGGAAGATGAAATGCTTGTATTAGGAGTACCTATCATTGGCACCTGTCATCCTGACTTTGTGGAAGACTGGGTTTTATCAGTTACAGCATCTATGCTATGCTATGTTTAAGGACTCTTAGGGAGAGATGGAGGAATTTGGCTTTTATGGGTCAGGGACCTGTGTGAGGGTCGAGGTCTTTTGGGGAGAGGTGGCATCCACCTAACAATAGAGGGGAGAGCAGCATCTTTACCAACAGGCTGGT